TCATTTAACAAATTTTAAAACACATTGTGAAAAACAATAACCTTTTTAAAAGAAGCTTACCTGTACAAGAATAAGTCCTTGGCAAGCCATTTTGTCCCAATAATTTTAAAGATTATTTCATAGGTTTCTAGTGCTTTTAAATGTACTCCACTAGGCAGTGCTGGGTGCAAACACTGAGATAATCTTTTACTGATGATCAGACGTCTTGGCAATAATGAATACTTCAGGTTACTCTGAAGAGCCTATGCAAGAAAGGAGGTGAGACTGAACAGCTGCAACATAAGAAATGATGTCACGTATGGCTGCATTTCAAAGGTTTCCTACTAGCAAACTAAGAAAAACTAAATAATGTACCAAGAGTTTTCTTTCATAAATACAATCTGTTATATTAACAGGGCAGAGATCTGCAGTTGAGCTCAAATTATTCATGAACAACTTAAAAGAGTCAAGTTATACTTTGGCTAGAAATTAAAGTCAAAGAGGGTACATAGAACAGGTACAGGGGCTCTCTCTCCTATTTATGAGGGAAGCCAGGAAGAAAAATATTTCTAATCCTTAATAGCAAAGATAAGAAATAATTTAATCACTAACTTTCCCTATAAACTTTTATTCTACTTATAGCTGAAGTAAACAAGTAGCTGTCTCCTCCAAAGCAGAGGCAATTAGATGGAACCATGATAAGGAACAATTCTGTGTGGCCACATTCAATAGGCTTTAACAACTATGGCCTCTGTACTGATGTATCAGAACTTTAGAACAGGAACTAATCAGGCATGCAGGTAGGCCAACTCCCTGGAAAAACATATTGTACAGCCTATTCCTTTGAACTACACATGCAGTTCATTAGTTCATTAGTTCATCATGCAATTAAATATTTCTCTTCAATTCAGAAAGAGACTATTAAAGAGGTTGCAAGTTAATACCACTTCACCCTTGATGTTTGTGCCTTGCTGGTACAAACAAGTGTTTCATGGTAGATGGACACTTAGGATATTTTCAGGATTGGGCAAATTCTTGTCTCCCTCAAAGATTAAGCAGTGTTTTTATTCTACATAATGCTTCCAAACTGGACATTTCTTCTCTTATGTCTGAAAAAGGACATCACAATCACAATAAAGAGACAAGTTGCACACACTTTTAGGACTTTTCCATCTCTGGGCATGAGAAGCTTGAATCTGGGAGGCTACCACTTCATGCTGCTCTGTTTAAGCTCAGTGACCATTTTTCAGTAAAGAAACTTCATGTAGGAAGAAAAAGGCTGCAAGTTCTTAACRGGGAACAGAAACATTACATCATTCTGAAATAGTACAGAAGCAGAGATGCCCTTAATCAATTAATTTCCCTTTCTTTCTCCTACCACTACAAGCATGAAATCTGTATTTTAAAAGTGTTAAAATAATTTAATCTAAGAAAACAGCATTCCACATACAAAACTAAAGCAGGTTGTATTTATGGAGCTATCTTTATGTTTGAGAAATTTGCTAAGTCTGTAGTACTTTGAAGACTACTTGAAAGCTGGACTTTACAACATTCTATTTATATTGGTTAGTATATAAATATCTAYACCCTTAGCATATACAGAAAAGCATGCCAGTTGTCAATATTTTCCCTGGATCTTAAGACCAAGCAAACATCATCTTAATATTCTATCAGTTACATTTTAAATATCACCTAGCTGAGAAAAAAAAAAGTCATTGTTTATCACACCAAGAGCAATCATATCTATTATAGAAATAATGTCTTCTTCAAGGAGGCACTTGACTTAGTTCACCTCCTAAGGATAGAAAGTAAAACTCCTCCAGCAAATGAAAACTCTACCACCCCAAACATCCACGATAAACATGGAAAACACCCAGTCAGAAGGGGAAGGAAACAAAACAAACACTGCAGTCGCTTTAAGAGCTGTATAGCTGATATTCAGTGACCCCTCAGTGTTAAGCATTTCTCCTGGGTAACACTGAAACTTGCATATGTCCAAGATATCCATATAAAAATGATGCAGAAAAGACCACATTTTCACACTGCTTCTCTGAAAGAATTAGAAGACASCTCTGCATAATACATAAGACTTACAGATATTTACTGCCATTCATTGCTAACTTTACTAAGAAATTCTCCCTTCCTGCATCAAGTTTAAAGTTTAACTCATGAGAGGGAYGGATACTGAATGATTTTATAGTGTAATAGGTTTGAAATCATACCTAGCTCATGAGAAACTCATTTTCCTCAATTTCCCTGACCATAAACCCTCTCATCTAACTCTCCTCTTTATCTTTAGTAAAAGAGGATATAAAAATAGGGCAGCACACAGAGAAAATACATGCTTTCCCATACAGCCATAAGTTTGTAATAACCTAGACTTAATCCTGAGAATTAATAGAACATCCTATGTTTAGTGGACAGTATTAGATACACTTACATGCAAGTTCAGATACTTAAGCTTRGTGAATAGCTTGCTTAAAATTGAAGTTTAATGAATAGATTGTTCTGCTTCTCAAATGCCAGGCATTCTCTATAAAGTAAACATYTTGCTTTTATAAAAAAGGAGAATACTATATCGACAACTCTTGCTTGAAAGCAATATTCTGAATAACTAAGTTTAACTTTAAGAAAGCCTATGCTACTTTATAGCATCGGAGATCAGTTTAATAAAATTTTTTTTGTGAATTAAGCCAACTAAAATATGTGTGTATATATATAATCGTAATTCTGGAGAGAAATAAAGTATAGCCCTCAATTTATAAAGCTACTTTAAATTGGGAATTACCATAATTCTTGTTTTAAACAACAAGAAGGAGAGCCTACGATTCATTTTCCTCTGAGGAACAGTATAAATATCTTAAAGCTCTAGCTTCCATAAAACCAGCATCAGGAAGTTCAAAGACTTTCAAAGATTTTCTCGCTTTTCGCGAGCAAAGCGAACTGGTGGAGTTACATCCAACTTAACAGCTGAAATTACAAAACCATGAGTTATGAATAGAAAAGAAACCCCACTCCTGGTGTAATCCCTATAATGTATCCCCAGTTCTGCACAATGCATTTATGCAATGGGTGTGATAATGTTCCATATAGCAGTTAGAAGGCAAAGGCTTCCTTCTTCTCCAAGATATAAGGCGTGCCTGCAGCAGCAAGTGCTGCTTTCACAAAGACATGGCCATCAGGAGCTCTGGTAAGAAATAACTGGTGTAATTCACAGCTATACTCATAAAATGCTTAGCTTAAGACAACTCTTCCTCTTCGCCTTCAAGAGGGACTGTAATACTAAGTGCTACTGCTGAAATAAGAGTTGCATAGCTGCAACACTTTATTAGATTTCTTCACCCTTCTACTCAAAACAAGTCAAACTAAGTTGCCATTATAATATTTACCTTCAATCTTCTGACTTAAGAACAGGCTATGGAAACAAAAAAGTAACATTTTTTTTTCCACTGAAAGTCTAACAAACAAAGAAAAAAGCCTTCGAAATTTCAGACTGAAGTCTGAAACTACTGAATAGTAGTATTGCAGGAAATGATAAATTGTCCATTTACACACTTGCATTTATCTAATGACAAAAAGCAGCGTAAAGGCTTTTTCAGAACAAATTTTGCTATCATTATTGAGCAACAGTCAACCATGCTGTAAGCATGAAATAAGTCTTTCTATAGTAACTAATTTTCAAAGCTCATAGCATTTTGTTTTCACCAAAAACAGTAATTATAACTGAATATCCTGCTTGGAAAATAAGCAATGGTCTGCTTTGCCAGCAGATCTCAAGGTAACTGAGAGTCACTACTGAAGTTTCCCTGGAAGTTCCATACCAATGATATCCAACAACTGTTAAAACTAGTTTATGTAGGTATTTCCATATTCATGACAAAATTATGTCCATGACTCTTGCCAAACAGATAGTCTTCTTGATGCATGTGGATTAAATATGCCTGCAAAAAGGGGAATCTAAACATTCACCCTCCAAAACCCAGTAACATTTTGTGCTCTTTTGTAAATCAGTAAGTTTTACAGACCATTTAGAAAACCTCCTTTCTTAGCCTCATTGCAGAAGCAGGCTGCAGAATTCAGTCTTTACTATTGTTYAGTGTGCCCTTTGGCAAAGAGTGGTACTTACCTATTGTTTGCTTGCACCTTGACATTTAAAAGGCCTAGAAAGAAGCATGCCTATGATCTAGATAAAAAGCACTCAGAAAAAAAACATGCAATTGAATTTTCATACCTTCAGGCAACCAAGAGGCTTGCAAAATATTCTGAAGCCACCTCTACATGACTGCTTTTATATGTATGGTATGTACTCTGAATTTGTACTCTAAATAAAACATATGAAAGTTATGTAGAAAGCATCTGATTCACCAACAAGCCCACACAGGCTGAACCATCACCTATTTTTAAGTTTAAAAAATATGAAAAAACAGCAATTTCTTCTATGAAAAGACTCTGCAGAGTTGTATCCTATTTCAACATCAATGCAAGCAAATTCTCTAACAGCACAAACACATCTAAACACAAAGACTACACCATATGACTACTCAGTTTTGGATACAGCAATCTGTATAGAGTATCTGAAAACCTAAGGTATAATATGTGTGTGGTGTGTGTCCATATGTGTGTGTGTGTGTGTGTGTGGTGGGTGTGTATGTAAAACTGAAACTCCTCTGTAAACATTAACATCCATATTTGTCTTCTCTTTAAGGTCACTTGTTCCCACCTTACCACTTATACTCTTCTCTGATCTAAAACCATTTTTAAGTATCACTTTCTGATGCTTCCCCTTCACTATGATGATGCAAAACACATACAAACCACACAGACTAGCAAATTGTAGCATAAATTAGCAACATTTGCTGACTTGAGCTTTTGCAGGAATCAAGTGTGAAGACTGGAGAGATGTTGATTTTTTTAACAAGCCTGTTCAGCATAGTACAGAGGAGAGTCACCTTCCCTAACCTTAGGTATCTGGCCCAGCTGAAAAGATGGGCAAGTTGCACTGCTTTAGCTTGGGCTCCTTATGAAGCCAGTGAAGGACATACGTGAGCCTAGAGCAGGATTCCATCTGATCTACTTTAAAAGTCTGCTCTAGGATGAGATGAATCACAGAAAGAATCCTTTTCTCACCTTCCCTGCCTAGAAGGCACTGAAGGTTAAGTTGCCCATATCAAAGACACCTAAAGTTAGGCAAGACGCATCTCCCTTAAGTGACAACACAATCTTGTATCTACAAACCAGAAACCGTTTGTCTAATCGTTCAGATGAAAATCAGTTTCTGTTGCTTGTGTGGTTCTAAAAGCCATAATAAAACAGCTGTTTACTTTGTTTGACTGTGGGTTTTAGAATTGTGGCAGCAACAGAGGAACTAGGAAAACAGAACCTTCATTTCAATCTTGGTGGCTGAGAGGCAATAGAGAGAAGTAGCAGAGCTGTCTCTTTTCCCTGGAAGTAATGTCAACAAGAGACTTAAAACTACCTGCCTCAAATAGGCTAAAGGGTTATGTTGCCTCACAGTAGCAAAACCTGAAGCTTGAATCTAGTTTGGCTCCCTTTATTCTTTTTCTCTGACCTATAAACACAGAAAACTCATACTATTTCTTCCAATCCTTGTGCTGAAAGAGTAAATCCAGAAAGTTTCTATGGGAATAGTTTTATAAGCATATATTAACTTGTAATGTGCATTACTGCAAAGTAGCAGTGAAGCATGCCTGTAAGAGCAAGAAAATATTACAAGTTTATAAGCAAGAATACCCACAATCAAGGAGAACAGTACATAAATCCTCAAGGGGTTTTAGGAAGGATATTATAGGCTTTTTCCATACTACTCTTGAAACACAAAAAGTTCATCTCAGATTCCTTGTCTTTCTCTTCTTCTCTCTCCTCCTGCTATCCAGCATTTCACACTTGCTTAGTAATAGACATCACTAAACATCAGTTAGTAACACCCAGCTTTCTGAACATGGTATTCTGAACATTCTAAACAATATATTTTAATCACTGAGATATTGTTGATCTCCTCCCTCATACTCATTCTCTCTCTGTTCTTTCATTTATTCTCAGATGACAAAAACTGACTGTAGCAGAAGTTGGGCAAGCTCATGTTATCAAAATACTGAAAACAAACAGAACTCAACAGCAATGTTTATGCTTTAGGGTGTAGGAGACTAAGTAATCAGAAGAGTTAAGAGTCCAGCTATTGCCAATTTATTTCACAATCCTCCCATTTGTGGAATATTCCTCTGAATTATCTRACATCACCCTTATTTTCAGATAACAGACAGAAGCAGATGAACACAGAGGATGATTTGTTCTACCAATTCTTATGCTTCTAAGAAGATTAAGTCCATAAAATACCACAACAGATGGGCCGACATAGCAACTAAAAGCTTTTCTGTTTCCACTATGCTGCCATGCATTTTGGCAGTTCTATATCTGAGCTTCAGAGAGGCATTAATCAGTTGCAGTGAATATTCTTGGTCAAGGGGAAATAATAATAATAATAATCTACTTGTCATTGGTGAGTACCATCTCACTCTCAGGGGGCAGGGGGGAAGGACAGGGGAAAAAAAAAGAAAAAAAATAATGCTTTCAAAAGGCCTCAGATTAACCTCAGGGACCACAACTTGTGCCTATCAGCAGGGAGAGAAACAAAGAAGGCAGAAACTCCTAACTCCTACTGGCCCAGTAACATCCAGCCTCCCTCAACTTCAGTGTGCATTCTCCTCCCCACAAGAAACTCTGAAGAATTAAGGTTTAGAAACCACACCAAGTCATGCAAGATATCCATCTGGTAACAGCAGGTATGTTTTTATGAATGCTGTAAGAGCTCCTCTCATTCGATTTCACAGATATCTATAGCTACTCTTTACCTATATATGCTCATGAAGAGCTTTAAACTCAGAGGCTGAATGGGAGACAAACAGCATGCACCCTGTTTCTAGAGTAGAGGAAACAAACACCATTTGGGAAAAAAAATATTAAGTTCCAATAAAACCAATAGATCACATTTATACAGTCACTGACTTAGTTACTTTCTTAGCCTTCCCTTTCCTAGATTGTATTTTTCTCTTCTACACTACTTGACTGATTTTTCACCTCTGACAAGTACTGCAATYTACAGAAGAGTTAATAAACATATAGAACTTTTTTCTTTTTTTTTTCCTTTGTTTTTGTAATACTGTACCTTATTGAGTTTTCCAAGGGAAGATATAAGGTCTGCCCATTCACTCGATGATTCAAAGTTTCTCAAAGCTTTCTCAATTGCCGAAGAATAATTTCTGTATCTGTAATCACCAGATAACTCCTGCTCCTCTGGATCCATCTTAGGTTCTCATAGCAAGTTGAAATTTCCTGGTAAACTAAGACACACACTTAAGTTCCGACATAGTATAAGTTATTACAAGAGTGCAATATATGTGAAGAAACACTAAAGGATCATAGTAAACGAGTCATTTGATCAAATTTCAAAATGGAGTTAAAAATAGTTTTACAGGCATGACTACGAAACCACAAAGTCACACTCTCCTGTTTATGAAACATGTKTTTTTTGCATGCATGTGGATCTCACTGGAACAGGGGAGAGGAAACTATAAGGTCTTATTATCAACAAAGRCTGAGAAGAAGTTAGGAAGAAGAGGCAAATGCTTTTCATATCCTTTCAAAACACTGTAGAGATGAAAAATCATCTGTAACAGTAGAATTTGAAAGATTTCATATCAAAGGAGAAGTTTTCAAAGTAATCCCATTAAAGGGCCTCTCAGCCCATAGCAGGAGCTCTCAGAAGTCGGCATCTATACTTGTCAAGCAGGTGCTTGCATTGTTTTCTTCCTTTATTTCACCAAAGGTATCAGTATTTCTTACAGAGAAAAATCCAAGTCTTACAAATCTGATTTTCTTTTGTCTGCAATGCATCTGAATTAAAAATAAATCATAGAATCATAGAATGCTTAAGGTTGGAAGGGACCTCAGAGGTCATCTAGTCCAACGCCCCTGCACACTCAGGGTCACCCAGAGCACGTGGCACAGGGCTGCATCCAAGCGGGTTTTAAAGATCTCCA